CTGTGTTTCAGTTTCAGTCCAAATGTAGGGGGGGGGGGGAAGAAAAGTAATCTTCACTGAAGGCAGGAAAAAAACCCGAAATCCCTGAATTTCTGCAGATGGCAGTGAGGCAGGAGGAAATTCTCCCTTACAGAAGAAATCTCTCCCTTTTGTTCTTTTCTGGCTCTGAACTGATTGAATGGGTTCCACTCACATTAAGAAGGGTCCTCTGCTTACACAATCTACCAATTCAAATGCTAATCTCCTCAAGAAACATCTCACAGATGCACCCAAAACAATGTTTGATCAAATGTCTGGGCACCCCATGGCCTAGTCAAGTTGACATATGAAATTAACCATCACACTGTGCTTAGGCTGAGTAACAGCCTTAAATATATCCACATACTAATCTTCAGCACTTGTGAATATTACCTTATATAATGAAGGAGACTTTGCAGATGTGATTAGTTTAAGGATCTTGGGAAAGGCAAATTATTCTGGATTATATGGGTGGCCCTAAGTCTAATCACAAGTGTTTTTGTAAAAGGAAGGGGAAGGAAGATTTTACTAGAGAAGCAGGCAATGTGATCACTGCAGCTTGATATTGTACTACTACCTTGTTTCCCCGAAAATAAGACAGTCTTATATTTATTTTTCCTCAAGAAACACCCTAGGGCTTATTTTCAGGCGATGTGTTATTTTTTTTTTTTTAAGTATGGTATAACAATCTACATTTATTCAAATATAGTTAAGTCGTCTTCTTCTGGAACATCATCATAGTAAAATGGCAGCCACAGCTCTCCTTCTTCCCCCTGGGGACACACAATACCCAAAGCGGAGTGTCCCTGCTCCTCACTTCACTGAAGAGACTTTCCCTCAAAGCCTCAGCTTGCAGCATGCACAGGATGGCTGGGACCTGACAGGGGGGGCCCCGACCTTGTTAGTGGGGCTGCCTGTACCTTTCCTGTCACCTCTGGGATAGTAGCTGTCTGTCACCATGGGGCAGATGAGAAGGACTCTTATCTTCTTTACCGCTCTGCAATGAAATGCATAGGTTGTGCAGATATGCTGTGTAGCCACAGCCATATCACTAGGTCTTATTTTCTGGGTATGGCTTATATTGTGCAAATGCTTAGAAATCCTGCTAGGGCTTATTTTATGGGTAGATCTTATTTTCGGGAAAACATGGTAGCTTTGCAGATAAAGGAAGGTGTCAAGAGCCAAGGAATGTAGCTCCAAGAAGCTTGAAAAAGCGAGGAAATAGAATTCTTCCCTGAAGCCACTAGGGGAAGTATGACCCTGCCAATGCAATGATTTCACACTGTGAAGATGCTTTTGAACTTCTGGCCCTCAGAATGCTAAGAGAATAAATGCACATTTTTTTAAGCTGCCAAGCTTGTGGCAATTTGTTACAGCAGCAATAGGAAACTGACATACCACCTTACATAGAAGTATTGGCAAATAGTGTTATAAATGTTCCTTATTTTGAGGGAATATCTTGCATCATATTCACTACTCCACCCCATCCCCCACCAACCAATTCCTTCCTAGCACAGGTCTATTGGGTGCCAGGGAAATAGAGAGAAGGGACTCTTGTCTCCTGCCACCTGCATAGTTCATTGATTCAGTCTTCGGTAAGGGAAAGAATATGAAACTCTCAATTATCCATTCCACTTAAATAATTTATATCATTGTATTTTGATAAATTTTCCTTTAAAGGTATTATCTATATTATCTAGTCATATGTAACAGCCAGGGGCCCAGCAGAAACATAAATCCAACTCAAATGGCTCATGCTTTCACAAAAAAAAACCCTAATACTCATGACTATATCTACTTACAGAGATGCTGGTAGATTTAAATGAATTGACGAAGAATATTGTGGCATCCATAGATTAGCAAAAATAAGAAGCCATTGGCAAGCTTGGGTATGAAAAAGCAAGGAGAGGAGCTAACCATACCAGTGCCCTGTGAGGGGTACAACTGAGGAGGACATGCCACCTGCCAGGAGCTGTAATCGTGGAGGAACAAGGCTACTACTTAAAACATGGACCAGAGGAAGCAGAAAGCAGCCAAGACAATCACAGTCTATCTCTCTTTTCTCCCCCTGAGCTCCTGCTAAGGTCTCTCATTGGCCTAACCCAACCAAAACACAAAGACCAAGGCTTTAACTTGTGGGACACAAAACAGAGCAAAGAAGAATTTTAAAAATACATCTGGTGACAATGGATAGAAGAAAACAGAATACTCAGCATACTCTTGCATTAAAGATTGATAGGATTAAAACAAAAACAAGTACAGTTGGGTCTAATTACTTTGTTTCAGGAGTTGAGGACCCAGAGGGGTGAGAGGGGCTTCCCTAAGACCTTGGTTTAGACTTCTGCTGTTCAGATGCAATGCAGTTCTCCTTCCAGTCTACCAGGAGACGCTGAGTTATGTCTATGCATGAAGTTGTTTTGTTAGCATCGATCTGATTTCTTACCACATGTAGTTAAAATCTGCCCTCATTTGTCTCTTGGTCAATTATTCTTCTGAGAATATCAGAGGCTTTGAGGTTTCTGAGGTATTTGGAATCAATGGGATAGTGTTTTATTGAATTATGTGAGAGGCTCTCAAGTTCTGGGGCCTGAATTCTTTACTAAGACTGTGAAAAGAAAAGAGCAGTCTATGCAGGATTTTGTAGAAATGTTCATTGGAGGTAAAACCACTTTGCCCATTAAAGATTGCACAGGCACAAGAATTCAAGGTGTGGAGTGCTAGAAACTCGAATTAACCTGACTCCCAAGGATTTGCAATGATCTGGAAATTTTTACTCTGTACTGATGCATGAAGCATTATGATTTTTGAAATTTAGCAAATCACAGCCTTTATCTGTCTGGAATATATTGGGGTATACCTAGCAGTAAACATTAGAGATTTGGATCCAGTGGCTGCACGTATTCAGGCAAACCAATCTCTCCTCAGCAAATACAGATGCTTTTTGATCCATGTCGTAATTTAGCTCTAACACATATCATCTCAGTAACCCATTCCCTTGTCCTCCTTGAGCTGGAGCAAAGCAGACATTTCAGAAAATACTCAGAGGACCTCGCTTGTCTATTAAGTGCCCTGTTACGGTCTGAGGAATATGCATAAGGCACATAAGTCAAAGCCTCTCCTTGGGGCAGCCATCAATCTTCTTGTAATTAAAGAATTCAACGTGACATAATGACATTATTACACCAGTGCTTTAGCATCTGTGCTTGTAAGGATGGTCCTGAGAATGGAAGGCTGTAGAGTTATCAGCAGCTTCAAGAAAAAGTAAAATTTTGCACAATTTTTAAAGATGCATAGAGTTTGAAAAGCTAGAGTAGAGGAGACAGGACATTCATAAGGAATGAAAAACTACAGGAGAGAGAATGAAGAGCTGGGAAGCAACTGATGGATGGGAAGATTGGAAAGACCCAAGGAATCTTGTAAGAGATTTTAATAGTAAAGTGATAGAAAACAAAGCCAAATTAAAGTTTAGGTCTTTGGCAGCGACATGACAACAGCCCTGTTAATGGAGATGAGTCCTCCAACTGTTTGGTGAAAAAGACTAGAGGAGAGGCCGTGAGGAGGCACAGAGGCCAGCAGAGAGCCTGCTACAGTAAACCATCCCTCAAGGTTTGTATACACACAAAAACGAGTTGTAAAATTTTAAGAGCATGCTACGCTTCTAGCATCCATTTTATATCACACTTGATCTCATTTGTTTAAAAGGCAGGAGAAGGCTCCATAAATGGAAGGTTCCCCGCTAAGCATACACAATCTTCCCCAAGATTCAATTAAGGGGCCATTGAGGTAGGCAGGAGGGTCTGAATAAACAGCCTCAAGCCTCCTCTTTTGGTTCTTCCTTCTCCTTGGAGTCCCCTTGTGATTTCTGCTGCTACCATTGTCTAGAACACTTCAGGAAGACACCCCTCATGCTCCTGCTTTAAAACTCCAGGCCCAACAGGGACACACACCCCCTCACGGTGTTCCTATAAATAGAGCTAAGGTGAGCTTCGATGTTAGAAAGGGGGGAAAACATCAATATAAACTTGACTAAATATCAAAGAATAACAGAAAGAAAACAATTACCTATGAGCAGCCAAGCTCGTAAAAACTCAAGATTTTAATGCTGAGGTAACTGAACCGTTGGCCTAGGGGCTAGTACAAGGTCTCAGTATCTCTGGTTCCTTGCTTGTCAGCCTTGACTCCCCACCTTCATGTTATAGTTGCTATCTTACACTTCTCAAAAGAACAAAAGTCCTCTCCAGGTTCAAGGCTTATAAGTCCCTGAAATACTTTACTTAGTTCCAGTATGTTGTCCTGAGATCAATGTTCTACTTTTTGATTATCACTTACCAGAACTGCATTTATTGACATAAGAAATATTCTCCCCTTACCCTCTGTAAGGAAGAAACTGCAATCATCATAGACTCATACAGAGCCATGCCTTAAAAAGCTTAACACACCTATCTGTTCATATCTCTGCACACTTTTTAATGATTTTTTTTCTTGCTCATCTGTTTGAGTTCCTTGTAGATTCTGGATATGAGTTGTTTATCAGATGTACAGTTTGCAAATATTTTCTCCCATTGTGTAGGCTGTCTATTTAATCTGTTGATTAAATCTGTTGATGATTTCCTTTGCTGTTCTGAAACTTTTAAAAATTAAATCCCATTTATTTATTTTTATTGTTGCTATATTTGTTTTTGAGGATTTAGTCATAAATTATTTGCCTAAGCCAATGTTCAGAAGAGTTTTTCCTATATTTTCTTCTAGACATCTTATGGTTTCAGGTCTTACATTTAAGTCTTTAATCTATCTTGAGTTAATTTTTGTATATGGGAGATTGGTATCCAGTTTCATTTTTCTACATATGACAATCCAATTTTCCCACCACCCTTTATTGAGTAGAACAACCTTTCCCCAGTGTATATTTTTGTCTGCTATGTTGAAAATCAGTTGGTTGTAGGCATATGGTTTTATTTGTTGATTCTCTATTCTATTCCATAGGTCTATGTGTCTACTTTTATACCAGTACCATGCTGTTTGATTACAAATACTACAATTATATTACCTTGTAGTATAATTTGAAGTCAGGTAAGTGATGCCTCCAGATTTGTTCCTTTTGCTTAGGATTACTTTGACTATTCAGACTCTTTTTTGATTCCATATGAAATTTAGGATTGTTTTTTCTAATTTTGTGAAAATGATTGTATTTTGATGGGAATTGCCTTGAATCTATAAATCACTTTGGGCAGTGTGGACATTTAACAATATCCAACAAATATGAAAAAATGCTCTACATCATTAATCATCAGGGAAATGCAAATTAACGGAACAATGTGATACCTCCTTACCCCTGTCAGAATGGCCATTATTAGAAAGTAAAAAAACAATAGATATTGATATAGATGCAGAGAGAAGGATACACTCATATACTGTTGGTGGGAATGCAAATTAATACAACCTCTATTAGTGCAACATCTATGGAAAACAGTGGAGATTCCTCAAAGAACTAAAAAAAAAGTAGACATACCATTTGATCCAAAAATCCTACTACTGGGCATCTACTCAAAGGAAATGAAGTCATTATATCAAAGACACCTGCCCTAAATGTTGATTTCAGCACAGTTCACAATTGCAAAAATATGAAATCAACCTAAGTGCCCATCAGCTGATGAGTGGATAAAGAAAATGTGATATACATATAACATGGAGTATTAATCAGCCATAAAAAGCAATGATGCAGCAACTTGGATGGAACTGGAAACCATTATCCTAAGTGAAATATCTCAGGAATGGAAAAATAAACACCACATGCTCTGACTTATAAGTGGGAGCTAAATGATGGGTATATATGGTCATAAAAAGTGATATAATGGACATTGGAAACTAAGAAAGAAGGAGGTTGGAGGTGAGTCAGGGATCAAAAGTTATCTATCGGGTACAATGTATGCTATTTGGGTGGCAGGTACACTAAAAACCTTGATTTCACCGCTATACAATTCATCCATGTGACAAAAAAGCCGGTACCCCCTAAATCTATTGAAATAAATTTTAAACAACTTAACAAACATAACATACATGTAAACAATATGAACAGTTACAGAAAGTAACATAACAGCTTTTAAATCATTGCCTCTTGTTATAATATCAAGAAATCTAACTGGCTCTGGCTCCATTCTGCTGTAAGTTTCTTAATGTGGAGGTAGATACTGGCAATTTAAAGTAAACAAGTTGAAGTAAATATCTTGAACACAAGTCAGATCTCCCCTCTAAGAAGTATGTCAAGATAAGTAAACTAGCAGGTATTGAGCCTAATCTGATGATAAATAGGAAGGACATGATGGAAACCAAAGAAAAGCTGGTCTTTAAAGAGCTTACTAACTAAAAAAAGCAATAAAATAAACATTCATGGAATAATTCAAATAAATACAGAACAGAAGATGGTTTAATGGATAAAGTGGTAGGAGTCTGAGGAAAGAGTAATTAGCACTGTAAGATAGAGATATTTATGTCTATTTATCAGTCTACCTACCTACCTAGTTATCTATCTACCTGTCTATCTGTGCAGAGAACATCAAATGTTCTTGAAAGAGACTTTTAAAGGAAGAAGAATCCTTGCCACTTTATGTACCCCTGGGAGTTGTACTCTCATATCAATTTGAAAGACCTGGGATTTTTCACATGATTAAATATTTAGTACAGTGCCTCATATATTCTAGATACTTAATATTTACTAAATATTAAATGAATTGGGAAAATTCTTTTAGACTGCCCTACTCAGCTGATAATAATACATAAGTTTATATCAAGTGTCTTCCATGTGCTATACATTTTGAAGTATATTGAAAAAGAAAGGCTACAGCTTCTATTTCAATGTCTACCTGGGGAGTCTATTCACAAGGTATATTTAGAAAAGCACACAAATCGGTATATGATTAAATAAGGCATGGCAGATGAAAGCTCTTTATAAATGGAAAATACTGTACAAATATTAGAATTATAATTGTCATAGAAAAATTAGCCAGGTGTGGTGGTGCATGCCTGTAAGTCCCAGCTACCCTAGAGGCTGATGTAGGAAGATCACTTAAGTCCAGGAATTTGAGGTTGCAGTGAGCTATGATGACACCACTGCACTCTAGCTTGAGCAACAGAGAGATACCATGTCTCAAATAAAATAAAATAAAATAAAATAAAGAAAGAAAGAATTATAATTGGCAAATGAGGTGGTGAAACCTGTGAGTACAATGGCATTTCTGAAAAAGAAACTCACTCTTTATAGGGCAGTGGGTTGAAGAATTCCCTGGGACCTCACCATTTCATTACTAGGAGGAAAAGAACAGTTTCATTCTCATATGCCTGGCATATACTAGGAGCTCACTACATGTTTTATAAAGATCTCTGCATTGAAGTTCACTGATATCAATGAGGCAGTCTTCTTGAAAGACTTGGCTTTTGGTTTTAGCAGGCTATGGGGGATAAGCAGAATTGAGGTAAGTGGTGAGTCCAGAGGCTTGGGGCAGAGAGGTACTGTGAAAAGAAACAAGAGAATGGTGTGTGAATTGCATGGAGTAGTTACCTGGGGAAGAGAATTTGTCCTGGGGAGTAATAAAAACACTCATTAAGCATTTAGAGAAATATTTATTAATTTAGGATGGGTCTAAAGAAATGGAATATCAAATGGTGAAGTAATTACAGACTACCAATCTACTGTTCCTGGCCCCATTTGTTAAGTGTTTAATTTTTTGATAGCCCACACCTTTCCTTGCCTCCATTTTTGCTGTCAGCAAGCCACTGTGGGAAGAGTGGTCTCTGCCAGGGGATTGGTCTCAAGCTGAGATTCCTTCGGCTTCATTTCCAATGGCTCTGTCATTCCCTCTAGCCAATTTTCCTTTTGATATTAAAGTCCCTGGTTTCCTTCCCAGGACCTCCCACATCTTAGCCGGAGGGCTCTGGCAACTTGATTTAGATTCAGCTTTGAATTCCTCCCCTCTTTTCTCACAACAAGGTTTCTGCCAGGGACTTGTTGGGAGGGAGCCAAGTTTCCTGTGCTCTAGCATTGCCCTGCTGCCAAAGAACCCTGCTCAAAGTCAGCTCCTCCTGCAGGCAACAGGCCGCCCTCGGTGGGGTGTTGTGTTCCATTCATGCGCTCTGCTTTATTCAACTGTCACACATCCAGTCACTTCCATTTAGATGTGTGCATTTTTCTAAGGAACCCATGAGTGGAAAAGAACAGGAGGCCCAACAAGTGAGTCATTTGTTCTACGTCTGTCTCCTACAGCCATAGCTGCACACTTAGCATAGCTTGGACCGCTAGAGGTATTCCCCATCTTCGGGGTGAGTGGGCAGGATTTGTTTGCCTACATATTTAAACTGCCTCTGTTCCTAAAGAGGGACCCTCAAAAGTCCAGGGTCTGGGTTTTTCCATCATGATGATTCCTCTTTCTCTGAACCCTATCACTTCTTTGTTATACAATATTCTAAACCTTTTCGCTTCAATATGCCTTTGTTTCCCAATGAAGGTGAAATTTATGGTGTCTCCTTCAGAGAGTAGCATGAAATGTGTTAACAGAGGGTAATGAGCTCTGCAAACTATGAAAATCTGTATGTTGTTGTTGTTGTTTTAATGTAAATGCTTCTAGGTAGAACAGGTAAGTTTCCCTGTAGAATTACTAATGTTATATACACTGCATCATCATTTATTTGACCTCAAAAACTAAAATTGCAGAACATTAGATTACAAAATCTCTAAGTTTTCCTTTATCACTAACATTTGGTAATTTTATAAGTCATTTTCTTCCACAGAGAGAGCATGTTTATACTTACTGTGGGACCCAGAAATTGATTCTGATCCCTCTGCTTCTCCACTTTAGCACTGGCTTTACTGACAGCCCCAGAAAATACTCACATTTGTTGAATACCTGCTCTGTGTGAAACAGTGGGTTCATGCAGTAAGTATCTTCGTGAATAAGACACACCAGACTGTTTTATCAAACTGATTGTTTGTGGGAAATCTTGTTATAACCTCCTAAATGAACTATCTTTTACCTGTATTACCTCCAGCACCTAGTAAGATTCTAGGTACAAAGTAGATGCAATTAACATATCAATCACTTGAAAGTTCTGACAGCTTTTTATAAATGCCAGCCTCTTTGCAGATAGATCAACCCAGGAAGAAGATGAATAGAGGTGAGTACTGATTATATGTAGATGATGTAGTGATCTAATTGGATTAGGGTAAATTTGAATGCAGAGCTAATTAGTTTGTATGACTGTCCTGTATTATAGAAACTGTATTATAGCTGCACATTTGTTTTTATGAAATCAGTTAGCAGCCAAGGAAGCCCATTGAAATGAATAGAAACTAATTGAAAGTAATAGTGAATTACCTGAACATATATTGCCAGTAAATTAATTTAATTGAAGGTAATTGATAGTGACTGGAATTAATAAAAGTAATGGAAACAAATTGTACTTAATTGAAATTTATTGAAATTGAATTAAACTCAATAACTCAAAGTCTATTAAATTTAATAGATTCTAATTGATATTAATTATAGACAATGCTTAATAATAACAGAACATTCTTAAAGGCTTCCAACTGCATTTGTACCATTCTATTGTCTTTAACATGTAAAAATAAATTCTGAGAAGAAAAAAAGGCATTCACAGGAATAAAATACTGCTTTGGAATTTTGGATTTCTCTGTGGAGTAGCTGAATTAGAAAAATTTGATTCTGTTAAGAGAGCTTCCCCTAATAACTTATGAAGATAAAAATGGTTTATCTTCCTTCAAGGAAGAGACTTTTATTAGTTAATGAGAACATTTTACCTGTTAAAACATTATCTTTGATTTGATGAGCATTCTTGCAGTAGATGTTGTGTTCAGCTTTTGCTATCTTTATAGCTATGTTGTCAGATTCTGTTACTTTCCCTGCCCCCCTCAGTTATAAAGCATCAGTAACCCCTAAGATTTTTCCTAGACATATGTTGGAGGAGGCAAAAACTTGCATTTTTGGCTTCTTCATCCTGAGCTTTAGGCATTTGAAAAACAAAAAACCAGAAAACAATAAAACAAATTTTAAATAAAATTTAAAAACTCCAACCATGCTGCATTTCCTGTTGTAGAATTTTATCAGCTGGAGTCTTCCACTTCAGTGACAGTTCATGCATTCATTTGGTGATGTTCATCTCCCTCATGCTTGCACCAACCTTGCTGCTTACTGAGTAGCATTGTTTTGTGAAAAAGTAATTTTCTCTCAAAAGAACTGCATCAAATTTATTTTACGTAAAATATTTATTGAATGGTTAGAAAACTGTAGATGAAGTTCACCATGTGGAGTGGGAATAAATGGCAAATCATCCAACTTACATCAGGAGAAGCCCAGGATTCAGTATGTAAATCAGGGTTTTTTGTGCCAGCTGTGGATCAGATACATCCATGTGGCATATTTAAAATACTCTGGTCAGGGAAAGGCTCAGACATCAATATATGTTTTTCTAAATCCCCAGGTGATTTTGTAAGCAGAGGCCAGCAGAACCAGTAGGCTACATGCAAAAGATTTGTCTTAGGCTTCTGTCTTATTTTCCAATATTTATTTTCCTCAACGATCCTGCCTTTGAATCAGTTCTTCCTTTTTCTTTGTTTTACAAATTGCTTAAAGACACTTGATTTATTTTAAGGTATAAGAAATTCATAAAACTTAAAAATAAGATTACTCCCAAAGGAAACTGAACAAAAGATCCAAGTTTGATCAAAATTTTAGGCATGAGCAAGATGAATGGGTTCAAAGTCCCAGGACCCTGGAAATCTTTGACAGGTCCTGGTCAGGTACATAACAGCTTCACCAGCTGTGAGATTCCTTCCCACCTGCACTACATTGCAACCCATGCCAAAGAAGTAAGCTGGCTCCTCAATGGACACTTGAAATTCCATAAGGCTTTCGTCTTAGGGGAATGCCACCATCATCACTTATGACATGGGAACACCAACATATATTTTAACAATATCGCATACGTGGATGTAGTTAACCAAAATCATAAACGTTTGCAATCTTTAACCCTACACTATCAATGTATATATTTTAATATAAACAATACATTGGGACATTGGTTGCAAAGTTGTAACAGGATTTATATTCGAGCGCCTGTTTAAATCTGAAGCATCTAGCCTACAAGATGTTGTCTAGTCTTTACTTAGTACAATTACAATGAAAACTTTAACATTACACCACCTCATCCAGCCGTTTACATATGTATTAAATAAAAAAGAATAGACCCTCAAACTAAGAAGTATTTACTCAAGTAATAAAGTAAATAAATAAAGTAATCCAAATGCTAATAAATATAAATATTTAAATATTCAAAAATCATTTTAATGGAAATATTCTCCTTGATGTTTATCTTACAGTGAGATTCCTGCACCTTTCTCCTTTCTAACATCTCGTCACATGTTTTAACATATGCTTTTGGTCACTTTTTAATCCAGCAATTTATGTGATATTTGTGTTCCTTGTTTATTATTGTCTTCATATTATTTGTATACCCTGATACTTAATTATTGTATTATATCTTTGATATTTTACTATATTGCAAAATAATTAATTCAATTTATATAAGGATGTTTGTTCTAAAATTTAGTTTTGTTTTACTCTTAATTTTGGATTATCTAGAACTTCCTTCTGCCCTTTTCCTTCAAATATCTTGGCTAAAGAGTTAGATTGGTGACCAAATAAATAGGTAGATGAGTTAAATAAGTAGGTAGATAGATGGACTGACAGCTTTTTAAATAAATAAGAATATATATTGATCCCTGAGAATCCCAGATAACCAACATTTCAATGAAATTTAAGCATATTAGCACGGGTTTCTGTTTAATGTAGCAAGATTAACTAGATAACTTAGACAGCCCTTACTCTCACAATAAAAAATTAGGATGCATTATTTATTAATAAGCCAATAAGAAAGTAAGAAAACGTAGGAATGCTCAAAAAATAAAAACTAGATCATTTATCCAACCTGAAACCCTGGTGAAATTGAACTCTGGTCTTGGCTCCCTGAAACACTGCTAACAGTAGCTGAGCCCAGCTCAAGGTAGGGATGAGACAGATAATCACTTGTATTAAGCTGGGATCACCAGTGGCCCTAATCTCATTGTAAGAGTGAGCAGGAAATAACCTCATAAATAAGCATTTTTGTATTTATCATAAAATTTACCACTCTGTCTTATATATCATGAAGACTTAATATATACTTTTGAACTATCATTTTTCTTGTTAGGGCTTGTAGAGGGTAGATTTTGCTCTGAATACCAGGCTGTATCCAGACTAGGCACAGCCTATTGAATATCCTACTATTCCTGGTAATGTGCACAAACAAGTAATAAGGATAAAATACCTCATACTGGAATCCAAAGGAAAGAAAGAAACAACAATTTTTCCCCCCTCAGAATCCTCCTTTTAAAAATTAAGCTTGCAAAAAGTATGATGTAGATTTATGTTGCCCATTCATTCATTCAATAATCCAAAGGAGTGAAATCTGGTAGAATGTTGTCTCTCTACATTTTTTATGAAACTATTGTCCTAGGGAAGCTCAACCTTTCCTGAGACTCAGCACCACCTATTAATGATTTGGATTCTGTACCACAAAAATCCTGGAAATTTTTATTTAAATTGTGAGTCACTACTCAATCACCACTGCATATTTTAGATTTTCATTTCCCTTTCTTCAGCAAGTGTCAATATTGATTTTTCTACTCTTTTGGTGTTTTTTTGAAACCCTCACCTCATGGTAGGATAATCTTGCTTCTAATTACCTCTTTCAAAATATCTTCTACCCCAACTCTTTCCTCATTGTTTTCTTCCTCTAAAATGTAAGAGTTGACAATTTTTAAGGCCTTTATGGGACTTTATCCCAAATTGGTTTATAGTATTTAGCATATCTCATACATAGCAGCTTATATTCTTCATTGAATGCATAAATTTCAGAGTACCTTTTATTACTGCTAATATGAAAGCCCCATAGTTGAATTGGCATCATTACTTACTGGCTTTTGAATATGGCTCTATTGTGCAGAAATCCCTCAGCTAAAAAAATATAGTGCAAGTAGTACAACCTATGATGCACTCATTAGAGTTGCCTTGGTTGCAAATGCTCAGAATTTGTGATTGGTTTCTGATTCCCATTCCATAATAATCCTCAGTAAAGAGAATTCAGGTAGTGTGCAGTGAATTTTCTGTTTACATCATCTACTCATTAGACAGAAATTAGAAGTATAGGATCATGACACACAACTATATTTACTTGTGTGATGCTTGTAAACTATATTTACTTGTGTGATGCTTGATATTATTAAATTGTATTAAGTGAAGAATCATGCTGAAGTCAAACTGTACATAATATATTTCTCTTGGTCATCTATCAATTTTGTTATTTTGTCATAGGAGGAAATATGATTTTATCCTTTATAAAATGTGGTTGTCCCTTCTGTATTAGTCAGAGTTCTCTAGAAAAATAGAACCAGTAGAAGATTAGATAGACAGACAGAAAAATACATATATACATACATACATACATACATACATACATAGACTGAGAACCAGGAGAGCCATTGGTAAAGTCCTGGTCTGAGTCTGAAAGCTGGAGAACCGGAAGTGCCAGTGTCCAATAGCAGGAGAAAATGGATGTCCTAGCTCAGGAAGAGAGAGTGAATTTCTCCTTCCTCTGCCTTTTTCTTCAGAGGATGATGCCCACCCACATTGATAAGGAAAATCTTTACTCACTCTACTAATTCAAATATCTCACAGACAAATGTAGAAACAATGTTTTACCAGCTATTTCAGCATTCTTTAGCAATCAAGTTGACAGATAAAATTAACCATCACACCTTCCTATAAAATTGAGCCTATAGTCATTTGTGTCCATTGTATGTTTTACATATATCTATCACATCACTTAAAATAATTTAGTTTTCTTTTTAATTTTCACATATAGTCCGGTGCCACAGAACAACATTTCACTCAATAATAGACTGCATTTATGATAGAGTCCCCATAAGATTATAATAGTGTAATTTTACTGTACCTTTTCTCTGGTTAGATATATTTAGCTACACAAAGACCATTGTGTTACAATTGCCTACAGTACTTAATATAGTAACATGCTGTATAAGTTTATAGCCTAGGAGCAATAGGCTATACCATATGGCCTAGGTGTGTGGTAAGCTATACTATTTAGGTTTGTGTAAGTATACTCTGTGATGTTTGCACAATGATGAAATTGCCTAATGACACATTTCTTAGACAGTATCCCTGTTGTTAAGCAAAGTATGACTGTATTGCCTTCAATAGAACCAGTACAGGGCACTGTGATTAAAACCTGGGTTCCAGATCTATAAAGGTAAGATCAAAGTCCCATCCCTGACTTACAAGTTGTGTAACCTTGGGCATGTTACTTAAACTCTGTCTCAATTTCTCCATCTTTGAAATGAAGATGATAAGGATACTTATTATGTAAGATTATTGTGGAAATTAAATGACTTTATTCATGTAAAAAAACTGGTATGGAGTAAGAGCCCAAAAATATAACAGAAGAAAATTAGGATGCCAGTCTCCTTGAGAGCAAAAATAACATTTGATACCCTATTGTGTTCTCAGCATCTAGTTCAGAACTTGATTACTCCAGGAATGAGATATCATCACACCTGAAACTTCTCGATCACAGAGATTTAATACCTCTCCCTCTTCATGGATCCCTTTGCTCCAATTCCTTTCTTACTTTCCTCACTGCTCACTGAGCCTGTGCTTTATACATAATAGATAAATATGATTCTGAATGATACTATTTGATGACAAACTCATGTGTTATCTGTATCTGAATAACACTAAAATAAATCAAATTAATGAAGCTCCTGAATTTTTATATGACTTTAGACATTAAAATTTTTTGAGTGATTCCAAGCAAAAATAGTGTACTAAAATATTTACCTTCTTGTTAGATGTTTGAGTGTCACAGAACATGTCTCCAGAATGAAACTCAACTGTTAGATGTTTCTGTCTATCCAGATATTTTGGATTCTTTTATTGAAAACTTGCATAATTAACAACATTTCCCCCATTTTTTTTTATCTAAAATTATTGTTACAGAAAGTTCTGTCTTTTGCAAATTCAAATAATTTTTGTGGTAAGAGTTAAAACTTGATTCCAATAATTTGTCTTTGGCCTTATCATTCTACCTTGAGAATCTGGAAAACATTCTTCAGGAAATCACCTTCATGTGTTTGCAGAAATTTCATGTTTAATTCTCCATAGATCAAAAAATTCCTGAATTGGATTAGTTATGAAGGACATGGCTGAGGTCCCCTGTAGCTTTCGAGATGTAGCTGTGGCCCTAGTTTGATTGACATTTGTTTTTCTCACTCTTTATTTTTCTGTCAGCCTGGAAATTCAATTTCACCATAACTGAAGCATGGTTTCTTTGGATTTGGTGTGAAAATTTAAAAGCACCTCTTTTATTTATTTATTTTTCTATTTTGCTTCCACTAGGCAACACATGTCTGTCAGTAGCAGCCTGACTGAATGACCCCCGACCTTATCAGCCTTCTTCAGAGCTAACCAAAGAATGGGAAGGTGGATGCTCTGAGCCAGCTAGGAATGGATAGCTCCATCCAACCACTTTGTCAGTGCAGAAGCCACGCTAACATTCCAATGCATTTCTGAGCCCAATCTGGTTTTACAAAATGACTTAGAGTGGCCTAACAGCTTTCTGAAGAGACAGGTTAACTTCCGTGAATAGCTTGGCTCGTTTAAAACAGCTGTTCAAATATTCTAAACTGCCACATCACATCCTCATATGAAATACACTTTTGCCCTTTCCTATAAATTTTGTATAACAGAATACAACATTATTCATTGAGTTTCTCCCTCTTTCTCTCTCTCTCTTCTTGAGATAATCACATCCTTAGGGCATTATAAGGAAAGACATGTATCGAAGCTACTGTAATCCCCAGGAGTATGATTGCCTTGTGGTAATTACACCCTCCTTCCAAGATGTCTTATACTATGATTATGGTGCCTTATTGCTCAGATATGACAGAGAGATCTGATAATGTAATTACTTCACCTTATCACACTTTAATAAATAATGTAGGAAGGGCAGCTTCTGCAGTGAGTCTGTCTAAAGAGGCCAAGCATATTAAGGGAAAGGGCCTGTGATACAGCTGATATTAATTGGTGGAGCTGAAAGTAAGCAACAAAAACATTAAGATCAGATATTTTACCATGAACGATTAAGCAAATGTATAAGGCAGGGTATATCAAAGCACAGCTCCCCCTCCAGCCGCTTTGAGAACAGATGGCCCATCCAAGTGTGAACATTTGGCACTTACGTGTCTTTTGAGGCATGAATACATTTGTTGTTTTTTTTATTCCTGGACTTGCCTCTGCTCCTGCATCTAGCATAATTGTTATAAAGGTGAATCAATATGTGTTTGAAACATTGGCTATTATACAAAAATGAGCTTCCTGTGGCCATTGATTTAATAACATCTAACGATTATTTCTCTCACTCACTTTCTTGAAGATTCTCTGCTTTTCCCTTTAGCTTTTTAAACTTCCAAGGACTGTATTGATCAGTGCTTTGTCAGACAATTTGGATTATAATTGAAAACCATCATTGTACACACAGAGGGCTCTTTCTTCTAACCATAGAGTGACATGCTTATTACCTGATTAAGGAGTAGTCTTCAGAACACAGCCATGATGAAGTTTCCTATTAGGTAAAGAATAATCTAAGCAACCTTGAACTCTGTCTACTGAAACAAACACAAACAAAAAGAGTACATGGATCAGAGGCTTCATGGAGGAGACTGTAAGAAATGAGTTCGACAATGTAGATAGAGCAGGCACCTTGTACTGAGCACTGCATTAGGTATTGTGTTCTCCAAACAGAGGACAGTACCTGCCACAAAATCAGTATTCAAAGAATGTGGAATAAATGAACAAATTAATAAAGGAGCTTAGTTACTTAGAAAGTTTCGAGGAAATTAAACACCACGTCATTTGGATAAAGATTAAATTACTTAACTCACACACATATACACAAAACAGATACATATTAAATATTTTAAAAGGTTAGATAATGTTATTAAATTTTATTTCATTGTTTAGTCTGTTATAATGTGATTGACTAAGCATGTTCCCAGTAGAAAATATAGAGGAAATTAAAATTTATTGCAAAATGGAGTTGCAAGAGAGAGGAAAAAAGAAGGAGGAAAAAAAGAAGATGGAATTAACTACTGCATAGTAAAGAATATCCATAAACAACTTTGGCAGTTTAGATCTTGAAGATAAAAGTATGAAGGCTCTCCAGTCTGTTATGCAGCCCAAAGTAGAGCTCAGTTACTCCTGATCTATTGTGTAATGGACATAGTCATAGACCTTGATTTATACAAAAAAGAATAAAACATAGTGTCTGTTCTAAAAGTGTTTTCAAGGCCATGGTAATATATAATATATGTACACATACATACATACATACATACACACACACATACATTAACAAAATGGAGGAAGGATTACTTCAAATGAACAGTATATTAGTTTCCTATTGTACTGTAACACATCACCACAAATTTAGTGTCTCAAAACAATAAATTTGTTATCTTATAATTGCGGAAGTGAGAAATACAGCACAGATCTCATTGGCTTAAAGGTGCAGGTAGGGCTGTGTTCCTTCTTAGAGGTACTAAAGAAAATGCATTTCTTGGCTTTTTCCAGCTTCCAGAGGCTGCCTACATTCCTTGGCTCGTAGACCCTTTTCTCCACCTTCAAACCCAGCAGTAGTGAGTCAAGTTCTTCCCATATCACATCATTCTGATCTTATCCTCTACTTCCTCCTTCCATTTTTAAGGACACTTATGATTACATTGTTTGAACCTGGATAATTCAAAATAATCTCCCTATTTTAGAGTCAGCTGATTAGTAACCTTAATTTTTCATCTGCAACCTTAATTTTCTCTTTGTCATGTAATGTAACACATTCACAGGTTCCAGCAATTAGGATGTGTACACTGTATAAAGGAGGGGCACTATTCTCACTTCCACAGGAAGAATTTCAAGAACTATCCTAAATGTAGCATGTGCAGTGGACTTTGGACTTTGTCTTCACACCAGCTAATCTTGGACAAGTAGAAAGGAAATTAGCATCCATCTGTTTTCAGGAATTTCCCTTTTAGTCATTTTTATGATATCTTGAATCTGTACGTAAAGAACAAATGTGGTAGGGACACTCCCCTGAGGTTGATGAGGAAACACACCCCCAGAAGTCTGAAGAAATATAGGGACACTCCAGTGGAAAGAACCAGAACAAGAAGTTGGACAAGGCTGGGTGCAGTAGCTCACACTGGTAAACCTAGCACGCTGGGAGGCTGAGGCAGAAGGATTGCTTGAGGTCAGGAGTTCAAGACCAGCTTGGCCAAGAGCAAGACCCAGTCTCTACTAAAAATAGTAAAAATTGGCTGGGTGTGGTGGTGTGCACCTGTAGTCCCAGCTATTCAGGAGGCTGAGGCGGTAGGATTGCTTGAGCCCAGGAGTTTGAGGTTGCTGTGAGCTAGGCTGACACCATGCCACTCTAGTCCAGCCAAAAAAAGGAAAGGAAAAAAAAAAAAAAAAAAAAAACTTGGGCAAATAGTTTCACTACAAACAAGCAAGCAAAATAAATACAGACAAACAAACAAACAAAATGAATACCTAAAATAAACAAAATTAAGAGAGAAAAACCTTTGTAGCCTTTGCCTTGTTTTAATTGTCATAAATTTGTTCCTGTATAATAAGGGGAAGATTATTGTCAAAATGATGCCTATACCCAAATTTTGCCCTAAAGTAAGAAATACCCAACTACTTGAAAAAGTTACTTCTTTTGATTAGGGCACATATCTCCAGAAGTTTCTTATTAACATAAAAACATCTAGAAAAGATCATACATACTTATTACCCACAATTAATGCAACCCAAGGAAATATTTCCATGCAAAAGAAAAGCAAATTGAAATTTTTTTGTATTGTACTTATTAGGGTTCAGCCAGAGAATCAGAGCCAGTAGGAGATATGTATATTAAGAGATTTATTGCTAGGCAGATCTAAAATGCAGAGAAGCAGGCCATCAGGAAGGCAAGAAGGAAAGCTTTTGGTATAAGCTGAAGCTGCATTCACAGGCTTAATTTCTTTACTTTCAGGGAAGCCTCAGCTCTTCTCTTAAGACCTTTCCACTGATTGAATCAGAATCATTCAAATTATCTAATATAATCTTCCTTACTTAAAGTCAATTTATAATTGACTTTCACATATACAAAGTACCTTAACTGCAACTTTTGAATTAGGGTTTCTTTTTTTTTTGTTTTTTTTTATTATCTGGGGATCAGAGGCTAAGTTGACACATGAAACTAAACATCAAAGACTACAAATTGCCATCCATACAACATATCCTTAAACTATACTTAATCTTATGATAACAACACTAGCAAATCCATACTTTTACACAACATGATACAACTGTCCTGCATGCAACCAAAACATGCTAACTCTTTCCCCAGAAGAGGATGTGAAGGCCTTGGATGATACTCACTCTTGTTAATATCCTGCAGCTTAAACAATGTGCAATGAAGTTAACTGTTATTAAAATATCTTATGTTAGATGATAAGGACACAGGAGAAAATGAAAATATTTGTTAATATACACAAACATATTCATAACAAATTAAGAAAGAAATATAACTATTATAGCCCTCATTTCTGCAACTAATCATGTGGTCTTGACTGGTATTTTTTAACTGCTTTCCTCCACTACCTATTCTACTTTCCCTTTGCATTCAGAAGGCACCTCACCCCATGAAAGGAATGGGCCATTGGCAGTCCTTCCTGAATTGGGTTACTGTAATTTTCCACTGACTTTTAATCATAAGATGTGATATTAGTAAGAGATGCGTCAAGTAATCACCTATATTGCAGACATAGCCTTCCTTGCCTCCTTTGTGAAGTAGTAGTCCAAACCTTTATGCACCCAGCCAATGATATTCCTCATCTTTGTTAATTCAGAGGTAAGCAGAGTACAAGGTGGCTGGGTGGCAGTCTTAAGTTCCACTTCAATGGAATCACTCTTGTGTCTCCCAGAAGTATTCCTTCACTGGGATGTTCTCAAGGCTGGTGGAGTATAAGGACATCAAGCAATCATCTTGGTAGTGGGTTAAGAGGGATAACAATGAATGGTGACACTCCCATTTCCACCTTTTGATTCCTGAATCCATGAATCCTGGCTATGGGAGAAACAGCACCCTAGATTGTTTGCTGACTCAGAGCACATACAGCTTCCTGGAGAAGCTTGCCTCAGCCCTTAAAGATGTTGCCTCTTAGCTGGCAGTGTAACAAAGTCTTCAAAAGGCAATACCAGCATTCTATCAAGCCAGTTGTTTCAGAATGGCAGGAAACATGGTAAGACCAGTGAATTCCATAAGCATGGGCCCTTTGTTACACTCCATTTGCTTGAAGAGACTTTCTTGGTCCAAAGCAATGCTGTGTGAGATACCACAATGGTGGATAAAACATTCTATAAATTCACAGATGATAGTTTTGGCAAATATATAGAAGGCAAATCCATATCTAGAGTAGGTGTCTATCAGTAAGAAAAAGAACTCCCCCTTTCATGATGGATGTGGTTCAATGTCATCAATCTGCCACCAGGTAGAAAGTAGATCACCTGGGAAATAGTGCCATATCAAGCACTCTGCTGTTGGTCTCTGCTATTGGCAGTTTGGGCACTCAACAATGCCTATATGTCAATTTTGGTGAATGGAAGTGGGTGCTACTGAGGATTATTTCCCTTTTCCTAATACACAGTCACCCTGGTAAATGGTTGTAAATCTTACCTCTGGGTAAGATTATCAGTATAAATTTTTATCAGTGTAGCAAGGTCCTTCCTCAAGAACTTTTCTTAAAGAGGTATTGTTTGTATAAACTGTCTCAGGACTGAGAATTCATTGAGGAACTGTCTAAAGACTGAGAATTCATTGATTCTTTGCTTTGATAATTTAAGTTCACATGACTTAGAACTCTTCTTCTTATATAGATCAACTAGGAATGGATTGCCCATCTGTTTCCTTTCTAAGTGCACCAAGATCAACTATCCACTGCCATAGGTATCTGTAAGTCAGACTATTCTGATTACTGCTTTGACTTTGGAGTCCATTACAGCAGCCATATTTCCTGTGTCTTTGGTGATTATAGGCCAACAGTTGGCTTCTGCCACGCTGGGATCCAACCATCCCACTCCATTTTGGATCCCAGTTACGTGGGAAGAGTCCTACAGTAGGCTACCTTCAGGTGCATGTTTTAGCAAACTAACCAAACTGTAAAAGATATTATTAACCTATTGAGCTAAAACATTGAATCCAGAATGTCTGGACCTAAGGGTCCATATCAATAAATTCGGCATGATCCAAGTTTATGTTCCTTCCAGCATTATCACATACCCTTAATATTCATTCTCACATATATTCCTCAAATTTCTGTCTGTATAAATTGAAAATAAAAAAAATCACGGAGTTCTTTGTGTATACAGCGCACTTCTTGCTGAGTCACACTTTGTAACTCAACCTTTGGGTTCTCTGGGACTTGAGTGTATATCTAAAAGCAAAGAGGGATGGAGGAGTGAGAAGCATCAACAGTGTCTTGCAAAGCAGCTATCTCAGGGGAGAACATAAAGTCCTTTAGGCAAAGGAGAGCTATCTTCCTCAAGTAGAGAAAGAAGGGCATGAAGACATCAGAAATTAGGGTTTCAATATTCCCAGCTTCACTGGAATGTGTCTCATTCCAATGGTGGGGATCCTGTTCTTTTTCTAATAATTCCCTCATTCTAACAGAAGACTCCCAATGAAGTTGGGAATTCAATTTGGGTTGTAATTCAACTATTCACAGTATGATAGCATGAACTTTGTTTCAGAAATCTCAGCTATGCAACTAACAGGATATAAGTTTTGTATTTTTTTTTCCCACAGATAAATAAGAGTTTTCAATTTTGGGGCCATTTATGAGGAGGAGCTTGAACTGAAAATTTGAAGCTCTGAGCTCATTCTTTTCTTTCCCCACTTTCTCCAGCACAGTGGTAAGCAACCACCAAATTCTGTTATGCTCCCTAGTATGACTAAAACGTTCTGAGGTAGCAGTACATGTCACCCAGCACCTTGCCTTCTACAGGTATTAGATTAAGAGAGTCATGACTTGGCTTTTTTTTTTTTTTTTTTTTTCAGAAAATTATCTTTTAACAGTTTTGGAGATTTTCCACTAAGATGACTAATGGTTTTATTTGCCAGAGCCAGGTAAAGTTTGCTGCCAAAAAAGTATAACTCATGGATGATTTGAACCCAGGTACATCATTCTTGAAAGCTGCCTGAGGTGAACCCAAAGCAATAATAGAACTTTACTTTTTGTTTGTCTGATTATAACTTTGTTCTCTACTACTTTTGCTTTGATTTGTATTTAGTTTTTCTTCAGTGAGTGTTTGGTTTTATGGTCTGATAATTTGATTATCTTTGTAAATAAATTAAAGACACACACATTTTGTCTTTGTTGAGTAAGAGATGTTAGAAAATCTGTTAGTCTTTTCTGATTATTTATCTATTTAAATCAAATTACTCAAGAATTCTTACTCATTAAGAAGAAAAGAGACCTTTGATACAGACTGGTGAGTTCTGTAATTTGTTTTTATTCTTGATTCATGGCTGAGATTTTATAAATAAAGTTATAAATTTTCTCTATTTGTATCTGTATATCTGTCTATTTGTTTATAATTCAGAAAGGACTTTGTGTGTGCAATTTTAAAATTTCTAAATTGTATTAATAAATACGATTTTATAATTTATTTAAGGAGTTCTATTCTCACTGACTTAAAAAAATAAATGGTTCTATAAATTGAATATTCATAAAATTACCCCAAAATAAGGAAATTGACTTTCTAATACTTCCAATATGTTAGATTTTATAATTCTAATAGAAACTAACTGAATGTTTTAAGTATTCAAATTCATATACATTAGGTAAATCTTTGACAAATGAGAGTAATTAATTTTGATTTGATAAAAATAATTATGTTTTCTCTAATTTATTATTGTTAGATGTAATACTGTCTCATATTCTTGTTCTATTTGGGTATGTTCTTCTTAAATTTATACAGGTTTACTAATCAATAAGTTAACATTACTTCCACTTAACAGTTATGATTTAAGATTAACATACTCTTAACATAATCTTTTCATAATCTTAATATTTAAGATTATGAAATACCTAAATTTGTGTTTGAACGTGTTGATTGATTTTTCTGATAAAATCTTAATTCTATAGTAATTATGTTTTGTAGTATGCCAGAATGTCAGCTTGAAGATAATTTTCACAATCTTTATGAGACTTAATTAATGGATATTTATTAGCTACCTAGATCATTTCTAACTAAAATATAATGCTGAAACATTGATTACTAAGCAATAATTTTAAGTTTGTATGCATTAGCTTTTTATTTTCATATGCTATAACAAGGCTACATCTTTGGGTCAGTTAATGAGCATGTTCATTTACTGCCTTGAGAAGTATAATGTATTACTGTAGACAGTTGTGTTCTGTGTATTCATGAGCTCTGCTGAACTGGCAGCATGTTTGTATATAACATTACATTTGTCCCTGGTTGTCCATGAGTTTCTCTGTGGAGTAGAACTTACTTTGGTTAAAATTTTATACTTAAAAGAGATGATTTCAGAGAAATACAATTGTGTATGTACTTTTATTTTTCAAAGAAAAGAGTAGTTTTATTCTAAAAAAAACACGTGTTTTTTGTTTGTTTTTAAATCTCTAAACCACTTGTGCTCTTTAATCTTATTGAGAACCAAAAAAGCTCTTTCGTGGGTTATAGTTACTGATGTATACCATATTGGAAATTGAAACAGAAAGTTTTTTAATGTTTATTTACTGTTTATTGTGATGATAACATGGATGAAGGCATTGCATATAAATAACAACTTGGTAATATTATGAAATTAGTTTTTACCATGCTAACATCCTGAAGTTAGCCCTAAGGTAGTGTCCACCTGCTCCATAATATGAAACAGCATAATGAAGTATAAGAGTTGGAAATGAATTTTATGTGCTGTGGCTTATAATACCTCACTTTGAAACGCTAATAATATGACATATGTTAAAATATATATATTTTTTGAGACAGTCTCGCTTTGTTGCCCAGGCTAGAGTGAGTGCCATGGCATCAGCCTAGCTCACAGCAACCTCAAACTCCTGGGCTCAAGCAATCCTGCTGCCTCTGCCTCCTGAGTAGCTGGGACTACAGGCATGTGCCACCATGCCTGGCTAATTTTTTCTGTATATATCATTTGGCCAATTAATTTCTTTCTATTTATAGTAGAGACAGGGTCTCCCTCTTGCTCAGGCTGGTTTCGAACTCCTGACCTCGAGCAATCCGCCTGCCTCGGCCTCCCAGAGTGCTAGGATTACAGGCATGAGCCACTGCACCTGGCCAAAATCTAAACAGTATGTGCTCAATTTTGATGGGCTTGTTTCGTTGTTTACTATTGATTGCTTTCACCTACAATATGAAAAGAATTATTCTTTTATTTCTTTCTGTGTAATCTGCCTAGATAACAAAGATTTGATGTCTTACCTGAATAACTTTCCTATGTGTAAACTAAAAATAAAACCCTTAGACTCCCATTTACTCAATGGACCTCTCTTAGCCAAGTGGATCCCAGAAGAAATTAAAACTTCCCAGCCATGAGTGGAAGGGAGTTTGGACACACCTCATTATACTCCCTTCCTTTTGGAGTTGAGACTAATTGCAAATGGAACATAGGGCCATGAAAGGCAAAAGTTAAGTCATACCTACAGGCCATCAACCTGCTTAAGAGATCACCCTGAGTCAGCGTATTGTGGCTTGCTCTATGATTAACAGACTTCCTTATCTTAAGATATTCCTTTCTTTTAATTCCAAGCCTTTAGACAAAGCTTCATTTCTTTAACCAATTACAAATCAAAGGCTCTCTGAACTCACCTATAACCTGTAAACTCCATCTTTGAGATATCTCCTCTTTTGAGGACAAACCAATGTACACCTTCCATGTATTGATTTATGATTTTACCTGCAGTTCCTGTCTCCCTAAAATGTATAAAACCAAAGTGTAGCCCAGTCGCCTACAGTGCATTTTTTTAAGGACCTCTTCAGATATGTTTCCCAGGCCATAGTTACTCATATTGGCCTCAGAATAAAATCTCTTTCAGTTATTTTACAGATTTTGGTTTTTTTCCATTAACATATGGTTTATGTCAACTTTATCATATCTTTAATTATTTAAAAATAAACAAATTTTTTTCACTTTAAAAAATGAAAGATTTTATTATCATGCTACCTTCTGTGTTTATTTTTAAATATTTTACTATCACTTTGAAATGACTAGCTATCTATTGTTTCTCAGGCTCCTATGATACAATTTCTATCTTAAGTGTTAAAATCTCTGATGACTTATGGTTTTTGACTCATATCAGATGAATCAAGCAAGTCCTCTGACATGCGTTTATTTTTATATCTGTATGAGATTCATGATTTTTCCTTTTTTCTGAACATTCTCTTAACTATATTTTACTTTTATATCTTTCTATCTGTCTAAAATGAAAGTGATAGAAATATTAAAATAAATTAAGTAATTTTAACATGCATTCTAAGTTTTTGACAGATTAATATGACAAAACTAAAACAGTATGGAGATTATTCAAATAGTTTCATTCAATGATTATGGTTTGAACTATTTGTCTTACCAAGAGAATATACATTATTTTTAAATTTTTATGGAAGATGTTTAAAAATTACTCATCTGCTATAGTGTAAAGCTCAATAAATTTCCAAATTATAGATATTTCACAGCTTATAGTTGAACAGCATTAACATAATAATCAAATATTTAAATAGTTTTACAAATATTATTTCCTACATTACCTTTAAATCAAAGATTTAAATAAACTAATAAAGACTAATTTGGAAAATATTTTAAGTTTTAATGTTAAGAGTAAATTGCCTTTATAATCAGTAAATTAAATGTTGACATGTTTTGTACATATATATGTTATATATATATTATATACATATATATGTATATATAAATGTTTACAATCACATATTTATATAAATGAGATTGTAAACATTTTATGGTAAATTTTAAACATACACACTCACATGTATAGCCTCTCTCTAAATACATAAAGAATAGCAGAATTCATTCAATAAATGTTTAAATAATTCCTACTATTCACATGCTTTTTGTAAATACTGCGGAAGATGCAAATATCTGTAAGTTATGGTGACTGCTGCTCTCACACATGTCATACAGTGGAGTAATATTCTTTTAGGTCGCCAATGACATTCAGAAGTGTCAAGTCAAAGACAGAGTGTGGGTTGAGATTAGATGACATAGCAGGCAAAGCTGGGTCAGCACATCCTGATTTATAAGGAATGAAAGTAGAAGTAGCAATAAGCTATGTCAGGAACAAATTCAATAGAAGACAATCCACATTTATTTAACTATCAATATAAAAATAAGTCTAAGATGTAAGCCAAGACCAGAGGCAAGAGGGGATGTTAGAGAATGAGGCAAAGGAAAATAAAGAGTGTGTTTGGGATTTTGAAACAAATTTAAAAATAAAATTGTATCTAATTCTGGTTGGCTTATCAAACATCAGTGAATGAGAAAACTCAATTTTCTTATTTTACTCCATACTTCTTCCCCCATAACTAAAAACTAAGGTGGAATCTAAACTTTGTTAACTTGAGTAATTTCAGTAAAGGAAAATTTAAGTTCTGAGTAAGAGGGCATTAGGTGCCATGATCTCTGGCCCACTTATACCCGGAGTCAAATATTGAAGTTTACTTGATGTGGTAAGTAAGCATAAATGCTTCTATAAGGAAGGCATCTGAATTCTATTCCTACACTGGTAGTAAAAGATGAAGAGCTGGCAGATACATATAAGATGGTCTTTTTCCAGATAGTAGAGTCATATTTAGAAAACAGGCAGATTTAGAAAAATGATATGATCAAAAAGTGGACAGTAAAGGTTATGATAATAGCTATATGGTAAGTGACCAAAAGAACTTATAGTTACCTTTTTGTGTTTTCTCCTACACAAAGAGATACCTGCTAATGGTCTCTGGATAACTAGAAAATCACCCTAACAAGGCATTCATCTATTTGAGAAATAGCAAGAGATTTTAGCTGAGAAGTACTGACACATGGAAATATAATTTGTATGATGAAAGATTTGTGGTAAGCACGCTTAAATCATTGTTAAAAGTCTTACAGGTAAAATGTGGTGATCCGAATGGATTATTTCTTTATAAAACAATATATGATTGGGTATTAGGTCTACATGTGTGCTAAATGAACCCACCCATGGGTTATCATTGTTCTTACTTGGTAGAGAGAGTTCTTAATTGCTGTTCTAGTTACCAGTTAAGAGTGGTGATGACTCCAGAAGGTTCTTCCAAGAACATAGATTTCAGGTGGCTGGGCACTTCCTGAAATGCCTGATTGAGCTCTCTCCTCCAGACCTAAATTTGTAGATCCATGTTACAAAGAAGAGGCAATATTATTTAGTGATTAAATGCTAAATTACTCAGGGCATCCTAGAGGACTAAAGAGAACATTCATTTCTGCTATTCTCCCTTCTTAACAACAATAAAACTTCCAACCACCTCATGTACCCTGATAACTTCTGTAGGCAAGCTGGGTCTGGAAGTGGAAGCCAGCTTCAGGATCTGCTAGGATCTGAATGGTCAGAACATGGCACATGGGCATCTGGAGTGAAGTTTCTTGGTCAGGGTTCTGAATTTTCTGATTCTTGAAGAGGGCCATGGTCATGTAAAACTACATCCTGCGAGAAGATGCATGATACTTTATCAGGGAAAAGTAAAATTGTAATCTGGCAAATCACTTCTCAGCAGAGGCCAAGATTACTGGACCTCCTCCCACCACTCATCGGATTTCCTCTCCAGCCATTGAATTTGGGTCTTGAAAGTGAATAAAACTCTGACTGAGGAAAGCAAACAAAAAAGAACTCTCAACTGACGAGAAAAACAATTATAGCAGGCAGAACGGAAAACTTAAAAGAAAATAAAACTGGTGTAAGAGATGGGCATTCTCTTGAATATCAAACAGTAAAAATAATGCACTAATGGAGAATGGAGAATCAATTAGAAAATCAAACAAAGAAAAGTGAAGTTGTTGATTTACAGTAAAAACATGCAGTGAATAAATTCAAGCAACGAATGATCAGGATTGAGACCTGTGGCTGATTTATTGCATCAATGTCCTTGGTTTTTCTTCCTTTCCAATATTCACGCCATTTGCCATATGAGTTTGTTCCTCTTCTTAAAGAAAGGACATTTATTTACTCACTCCTAGAATCTATGCTGAGCTTCTGACTTGCAGTGGCAAGTAGAATGACCAGAGTGATGGGGTGCCAGTTCTGAGCCAAAGTCTCAAGAAACATAGATGTTTTCACTTGCTTTCTTTCTCCTCTGCCTTCACTACGAGGACATACCCTTCCTGGAAAATGTAGCATGTACAGCAGAGCTGAGTCATCCCTAGTAATTCCAGCCAAGATCATTCTAGTTCAGCAAACTCAAGAGTTTACAACAAGATGTATAAGTGAGACCAGAGAAACTACTCAACTTAGCCCAGCCTAAATATTAATAGCTGAACTGCAAACTTACAAGCTAAATAAATGTGTGCGTGTTATATGCCACTGAGGTTTTATAATTGATTTTGTTTATTGTGCTACATTAAATTGCCTAAAGATAATTGATATGAAACGTGAATGGTTGGTCTAGAAGATCAAAGGGAAGAAAATGCATAAAAATTATAAAAAGATGGGAAGTATAAATAAAGATTACACTTATGGAGGACAGATATTCAGAAGCCCTAAAATGCCAATAACAGGAGTTCCTATTATTGAAGAAGAGGAAAATAAAAAAGGAAGGAGAAGCAATGTTTATTTAAGTAATAGAAAATCATTTTCCTAAACTGAAGAAAAATTTGAGTGTGCAATTTGACTATCACAATTTCAAGGTAGTAGTAAAGAAAAAGACACATGCTTTGGTATATCTTATCAATATTCTAAATCAAGTGATGAAGAGAAGATTTTGCAAAACAATTTTTTTAAAAGAACAAATTCCTTGCAAAAGTACTAAAGCAGAAGTTGCCAAATATTGGCCCATAGCTGAATCCAATCCGCCGCCTGATTTTGTAAATAAAGTCATTCATTCACAAATTGTTAGGACTGCTTTTGTGCTATGACTGCAGAGTTGATTAGTAGAGATACAGACTGGCCTGCAAAGCCTAAATTCCTTATTATATGGGTTTTTACATAGAATGTTTTCTGATAGTTACAAAATAATGGAATAATCATCTTTATTTTTGGTACAGTGAGTGAAAAGGACTCTGAACTGGAAATTCTATTCCCAACCAAGACATAAATTCAACAATTGGATTAAAAAATAGCTATAAATATGTAAAAAATCAGAGCATATATTAATCAAGCAGCCATAAGAAGAAATGACCTGAGGAAGACCATTGAACACCAAATGCATTGGAACTGAAATTTCAGTGCAGGAGAAGCATTAGATAAGCGGGTAATTGTAGATAAAGAATTTTGCAATAAATTTAATTAAATCCAAATTGATTATGAAAGAATTATTATATGCAGTATAATTACTAAATATGGATTTGTGAAATGGAAAAGACATAATGCAAGAAAAAACATATTTCAGCAAAACTGAGGAGTTATGAAATAGCGGGCAGGGGTGGGGGAATAAAAGTTTTCTAAACTTTATGTAGGAGATGAGAACTATGACAAGGAAAAAGAAAAGCATTTGTTATCTGTACTGTAGATAAACGTGTAGGGTAGTGAGGAAAAAACTACAGAGATGGAGAATCAATAAATTAGTCACACACCTGATTTACCAAGGAATGAGTAGAATGACTAGGAAGTCAAATAAGCTTAAATGAGAAAAATTGAGATGAAGACATCGCAATGTAGATTAAATAGCAAACATTAGATAGTGTAGTATCAGTTTCCTTACTACCTGCAGGTAGGTAGAAGTTTCAGACTTAATAAAATATAAACATTTGGCTATACATTGTTTGCAAGAACACTTTGACATAATAAAAAAGTTTGAAAATAAAGAGATGGAAAAAAGATACTAGAAAAATACAAACAAAACAAGGCAGAAGTATTAGACTTAGTATCAGAGAAAGTGAGAATTAAGGTTAAAAGTACTCAAGAGGATACTGAAGGGCATTACACAATGATAAAAGGAACAATTTATGAAGAAGATATAAAAGTCATAAAGTTGCATGCACCAAGAAGATAGCAGCTAAATATATAAAGTAAAATATTAGAAATGCACATTGACCTTGATAAAAATGCAATTGTGGGAGAAGATTTTATTGTACCACATTCAAGAATTGCACAGATATAATAGACAAGAAATAAGTCAGTGCACAGAAGCATAGAATAATACAGTCAATAAACTAGATTTTATGTGTGGGTATACACAGATATACAATATGTAAGTCATTGCATCCTACGAAAAAGGAAAATGCATTTTTACGTATATTTGTTAAAGTAATCATTCAATCTTGTCCATTAATAAACAAAACATTTTTAAAAGCAGAAATTTTATAGTCTATTATATCATGATCCAATCTAATTTTTAATATAAAAATATCCATCTAATATTAACTTTTTACAAACTGAGTGTTGTTTATCTGTGTAATCTTTGAGGGATAAAGAAAAGTCAAACCTGAAATTATAAACAGTCTACAAAATAAAGAAAAGGCAAATAAACGCTTCTGTGTTTATTAGGAGTATTTGTATAAAATTGCCAGAGAGCGTAGATTCAAATTGTTTTAGTAATAATCTCCTATAACAAGGAGTCCTGAGATGGGCCACTTCCAGGGTTACTTCAACAGTTCCAGAACATCATCAGGACTCTGTGATGATGCTATATGCCATGCCCTTTCACTGATATACCATGACCTCCTCGGTTTGTTGGATTTGGTCTCAGTCCTCTTTTTCTCACATTTGCAAGAGGGGTGCCTGATTTCCAGATGCTGTATTCAAATATGCCAGTTTCCACGAGATAAAGAGAACATTTCTTTCAGCATATCTATTTATATGAACAAAGAAATCTTTCCCCAAAGATCCATTCACATCTCCTTGCCCAGAATTTGGTTACATGTCTAAACACAAATCAATCTCAGGTAAAATAAATTTGATCCATAATTTGCACACATTAATTAGGATTACTTGATTCGGTTAAATAGGCATAACAGAGGCATGTACGTCTAAAAAAGTACAAATAGAATCCAGCAGGTATCAAAGAATAATATATTTCAAAAATACAGAATTTAGGCCAGGAATACAGTCGTGTGTCTGTGTCTAGGAGCCTATCAATGTAATTAATGGATACAAAACCTATGATCATCTTAGAGTTGCTAACAAGAGCCACCTAACATAATTATAACAGAACTAAAAGTGGTGATGAAAACTGATTAAAAAACAGTATTGTATAACTCCGTAAGTGGTAAAAAACTAAAAACACTATCTATTAAAATTAAAAACAAGACAAATGTGTCCAATTATCATTATTATTGACGCTTCTTTTAAAGGATGTAGAAAATGAATAAAGACAAGAAAACAAAATGATCAACCCCAAAATAGGAGAAGAAGTAATTGATAAATTCGTCTTTTAAATTTTGTCAGAAATAGAGCTAGAAAATATTTTCCTGGTTAGAGCTGGAACCCATACTACTAAGTGAAGTATCCCAAGAATGGACAAACAAGCACCAGATATATTCTCCAGCAAACTGGTATTAACTGAGTAGCACCTAAGTGGACACATAGGTACTACAGTAATAGGGTATTGGGCAGGTGGGAGGGGGGAGGGTATATACATACATAATGAGTGAGATGTGCACCATCTGGGGGATGGTCATGATGGAGACTCAGACTTTTGGGGGGAGGGGGGGAAATGGGCATTTATTGAAACCTTAAAATCTATACTCCCATAATATGGCGAAATAAAAAAAAAAATTTACTAGAAAACACACACACACACACACACACACACACACACACAAATGGCTGACTAGAGACGCCGGTTGCCATATTCTCCCGGAAGGAAGGAAGGGTTTTGGATAGAGGAGAGGGGGGAATGGGAACAGTTCAGGTGTAGTTCGGTGGGGAAACATGCTGGAGACTGCTGAAAACTTCACGGAAATAAATTGTAACGTGCAATAAGAAGAAAAAATGATACCAACAGACTTCTACGCCAGAGAAGCCTGGAGGCCCGTGAGGGTCGTAGGTCGGGTTTCGTTTCTCCTTCCCACACTCCTCTGGTAGCCAGTGGCTGGTGAGCTGCTGGGGAGATTTTCCACCCCATGAACCCAAACACTACTGCAACCACTGAACTGGCACCCTCTTGAATAAATAAATAATATATGGCATCTAAATGTATTGTTTATACATAAATATACAATATTATTGATATATATGTGTTAATAATAAATATTTATCTATAACAAACTCTATATCCTATAAAAGGATTCTACAGCTTTTTTTTTTCTTTCAAATTTCACAAGCATCATAAAAATTGAATATATATATTAGGCCACCAAAGAAAATTTCAGCAAATGAAAAAAATTAGTAATATTTTAAATCACCTTTTTTAGTTAAAATAAAAATTGAAATTAACAGAATTGAAAGGCAAACAGTATCCTCAACTGGAAATCAATAAATTATGCACACAAAAATAATCTCAGTATTCAACTCTTGGGTCAAAGTGGAAGTAGAAACTGGCTTTGTGAGATTTTTAGAAAATTAATGTACTAAAAGAGTTAAATACCAGTGCCTACAGAACACAGCTTTGAAAGTGACTAGGAAAAAATAATAGGTTTTTAGTTGCAGAATAGAAAATAGTAGAAATAATAATAATATAAATAGATAAGACCAATAGGTAACCAATTTAAGAAAAAAGGGGGGAAAAACTTCAAATGAAAAAATAAAAAGGGGAAAATACAAATAGAAAATGAGATTATTTTAAAATATCATAATAAACAGTATGTTCAACTGTAAGCAAGTAACTCTGTAAATGTGTATGAAATGAATACTCTAGGAACATATAATTTTCCACATCGAGTGTCAACTCTCCCAAAAAAGTGTAGAATAACCTATTAATTAAACAAAATTAAGTTCAATAAATTAATACAGCAAAGAAAAACACAAACTTAATGGAGTTTTAATAGTGTCTCAGAATGGGGAGGTTAAGACAGATATGGGTAGGATTTTAGAGTCTGGGATAAATGATTTAAGATGAATCTGTCATGGTGGGTAACTGGTTGGGATTGGACAAAATTCATGACATAATATGTAAAGATTGTTGTGCACATGAGATGAGGGTATTGAAGCAAGCCTCTATACATAGACTGTTATTTATTAAGCAAATTACTTGCCCAGCTAAACAGATTGTTATCTATTAAAAGAAATATTTGCCAATATTTGCAAATATTTGCAAACTAGATAAATTGGTTTTCAGTAATTTCATCAAGCTAATAATGAAGTTATTTATTAATTTATAGCCTTATCTTCTGGTCAAGAATTTCCTTGAAGTAGTAAAATCATGCTGACATTAAGTGGAAAAAGACCACAAATGACTTGTGGACTTAGTTCTTATTACTGGCAATTAAATTATGTGAAAGTGGGTGGTTTTAGTTCTTAATCAAAGCTAGCTCAGAAGAGAGAGAAATTCTTACAAGACCATTTACCAAACATGAACAAGAAAATTTTGGGGAAAAAAGCAATATCTTCTATTGTTTTCACATTTAAATAATGGGAAAACTAATGTTATATAAAGTGTTCCAGAACATCAGGGAAAAATGTAAATCTATCAATTTCTTCTTATGAAGCAAGTATAATATTAATATTAAACTCCTACACCTGCAAAGTTCCCACACACTAACTTTGTGTATTTATGCAAAAATCTTAAGTATAATATTGAAAAAAAGAATCCTGCAAATATTTAAAAATCATGATTAAGGAGGGTTATTCTAAGAATGCAAAGATGGTTCAGTATTGGTAAATCTTTTAATATAATTTATTTTACTACTAGTCTAAGGAGAAAACTGATATGAGCATCTTCACAGATGCTGAAAATACATTTAACATAAAAATTTCTCATTAAAACTTTGATGACATAGCAAAAAATGAATGCTATTTTAATATAGCCATCTCATCCTCAAAGCCAGCATCATGCTAATGGAAAATATTAGAATTTATTAAAATGTCAAACATACAACTACCATGTTATCTAGCCACTCCTAGATATTTACCCAAGAGAAACAAAAACATATGGTTGTATAAAGACTTGTACAAGAATGTTCTTAACAGGTTTATTTATAATATTAATAATAAGCAAATTGGAAATAATCCAAAAGTGATAGTCCACAAAGTGATGATTAGATAAATGAAGTGTGGTATATCCATACAATGATATACAATTCAGCAACAATAATAAATGAACTATTAATACTTATAAAAATATGGATGAATCCCAAAATAGTAATTCTTACTGAAAGAAGTCAGGCCAATAATAATAATGATAAAGAGTGTGTATTATATGATTCCATTCACATTGAACTATAAAGCAGGGAAACTAATCTATACCAGAAGGCAGGTCCTTGGTTACCTGGAGCAAGTGGTTATCTGGAGTAAAAGGAATATCTTACTAAGGGCATGAGAATACTTTTGTGGGAAATATATATGTTCATTTTTTTTTAATGTGGTGCTGATTTCACAGGTGTATATATATGTCAAAAGTTTCCAAATGTACATTTTAATTATGTGCAAGTTATGTCTATTATACTTCAATGAATGTTTAAAAAATTTAAGATTAGCTGCAAATGGCTAATGGCTACCATATTTGATGGTATAGCACTATATTTGATGGTATAGCACTAAACTGTTGTTGTATTATCAAAATAAGTGTAACTAGGAAACATAGGTCCAGATTAGAATAAAATCAAGTAACTGTATTTTGCTTTGGTGAGATCTCTTTTAAAAGCCAACTTTCCCTTCTGTACATCTCTACATACCTTTAAAGTTTTTAAAGAAGGAGTAGAATAGGACTTTTTCTACTACCTGGCTGAAAGAAGTATATAAACCAATCATGGAGATATGAAACTATAAAATAACAACCTGAAAGAATGGAAAGACAAATGAACAGCAGAGGAGGAATTACTATTACCATTGCATAGAAAAGTACTACTCAAGTTCAGAGGACCCCTAAGTAGAGTCAGAGATGATCTGAAAAACTTTTACAAACATGATGAGACATTACCAGATCTGGAACAAGAATGAGAATGCAATCAAAGGTAGGCTGGATAGCATGAAGAGTATTTAGAGACAAAGAAAGCTGGTCATTAATTGTTTTTTTTTTATGATAACTGCCCCTAAACCTTCTCTTCTCTCTCTTCTCTCTCCTGTCTTCTTTTCCTCTCTTGTCTTCTGTCAAATAACTCTGGCTTCTGTATATACTGTTATAAGAAAAGCACCTCATTGGAAGTTAGAATGCTTTTGTTCTAGTCTCTTTTCCATCGCATATTAACTGTGTCTTTGGGAAAGTTGCAATCTCTTTATATCAGTTTGTAAGGTGGAAAATATATGTACATAGTAACACCTGCTCTACTTATTTTATAGGTCTGCAGTGAATATGAAGTGAGATCATGAATATAAAAGTGCTTTGAAAATTGCCAAGTGCTTTAAAAGAGAAAGGAATTATTCTTTGCCTTTATAGGAGTAAAGATTTTATTTCTAAAAGCACTTAGAACAATTTGGATATTTACATAATAGCTAAGAAAAGTGCACTTGTGGCGGTGAGGAACAGAAAACCTAGATTTTCACTTCCAAATTTCTTTATATCATCCACAGCAGTGCTTCATTGTTCTGCACAAAGTGAGTACTAAGTAATTTTTGATTACATAGTTTTGATTCCACGTTTGATTACTGAATGCCCTACTTATGAAACACTTTTCCTAAATTATTGAATAATGTTAAGAATCTCTTCATGTGAATATGTTAACTTTTATATTTAGTGGGAAACTCTTGAAGAACGGGAACCAGGCTATATAAAAACTTAAAAAAAAAAACCCAAAAACCTAGAGTCCAGTACAATTTCTATCAAATAGCAAACCTTCAATAGATAAATCTTGCAGGTTTAATAAATGAGTTTTCTAACACTTATATGAGACTAATGAAAGGTCGTGAGTTTGCTCAGCTTTCTGGAAGCCCTTACATTTGAATTCAAATATTGAATTCAAAATACACTAGTTTCATTTGCAGAGTTGTTAAACAGAACAATACCAATGATCCTCCAAAGGAGGAATTCCTACGTTTCCCCCATAATTTTTGCACACAGAAACAACAATAACCAGGAGTGACTTCCCATTCCTTTAGCAAACAAACTTTAAGAATGTAAAATTTGCTTTTTGAAGAAAGACACATATTTCTCTGCATTGTGCATTGTCTGGGGGATGGACATGTTTGTAGCTCAGGCTCTGGCTTGGCAAAGGCAATCTATGTAACCTAGACGTTTGTACCCCTGTAATATTCTGAAATAAAAGAATAAAACATAAAATCTACCTCTACAATACTAAAATTTACTGTTGAAACGTGAAATATGTTTAACTTTTTAAAAAAACTCTAAATAAATGCCTACATTTAAAAAAAGACACATATTTAGAAAACTCTTATTCAAAACTAGATAAAATGTTGAAAGGTGGAAACAAAGCATTCCACACTTCCTGATAAATTGAGTGATTCTGCTCCTCTTTTTTCTCTTTATAACCAAATAGCTAAGTTATGTTTGCCCAGGTGCATGTAGAGTTTCATAAGACACAGTAGTAACTTCAGAGTTTATGTTGCAGGACTCAAGATGAGGTGTCAGTGAACAGAAGCTTGAAATCATGCCTTCTCAATCTCAAATGTGAATCGAAGATGGTGTTTGCAATGGAATTAGAGCATTTGACTTTCAGTTCTCAGCACTAACCATTTCATGACCCTTATTCATCATACTACTCCAAATGAGACATTTAATTAAGTGTGCTCGCATTTTAATACTCCACTTGATTGGCTATAAACCCAGGAATGCGTGCAGATCGTATTGTACTCTTCTTCGTTATCTTTTGCACCATACATTACTTTTCATGTGAAGCCATAACTGTATGCTCCATTATGAGCTCTTCTGCTGGAAATTCAGGCATTCTCATTCCACATCCACAGCAGGATGCTCACTGCAATCAGACGAGTAAACTCAACTTCTGACATTCCTGTTAACATTACATTAAACTTTGCAATGCTGCAACTCCCTGACAATACTGAAAATAAATTTCAGAGATGCATTTCCTTACCTGAGTCCATTATTTTATCTAAAATACTTTATCTTCTTAAATTCATCTAAATGCTCCATTTATTTGGAGTTAGAATAATTTTCATCTTCAAGAAGGATGACTACTGCCCTGTTGTATCTCCCTCTTGATCATCTATACTCCAACATGGAGCAGTCATTGGTCAGTACATACAAGAGATAGCCATCAATGTTATAATGATGGGGTCCTCCCCTTTCAATGTTATGTCAATTTTATTTGACATAAACATGAAGTGACTGTGTTTATGCTTGTAAATGCCAACTCTGCCTACTCATGTGTACAAATTGCTAAGATTAATTTTTTTCATAATAAGGACTATGGCAAGCTCAAAAGAGCAATGGCTTTGGCGTTGGACGGTTGTCTGTTTGAATCCCAGCTCCTGCACTTGCTATCTATATGATCTCAATAAATTATGTTATGCTTTCTGGAGCTCAGTGTTGTCATCTATAAATAGGAGATAATAGTACCTATGTCAAAGAGCTCTCATAAAAATTATACATAAATTGTTGATGTATATTATATACAAATGTATATTATTCTTACAATATTATGCCTATTTTTATCACCCTAGTTAATAGCAAGCACCCCTCCCTCCAACCTTTTGTAGGTCTGTTGGCATTCCAACGAGCTCAGTACTGTGGTTATTTACATGCCATTTAACCATTGGTAATGCTGTTGCTTGGATATGCAAGCACATTAGAAGCTCCTAAAGACAGATGACATATGGCACTCAATCTAATAAACATTCACAGTTTGATCTATGGCCTGACAAAAAGCTTAGTGTAAGGTGGAATGATACTTAGAAAAGAAATATAAAACACAATATTGAAAATACTTTTCACTTCTCCACCAATCCTCATGACTTAATATGTTATTGTGTCAGTAGTCTATGTTCCTCTTGTAGACATAGCTTACTTTATTAAAACAAAATTGTTGAATACCCTGAAAAGAGTAGGTTGCTACATCTGGTTTTGGGGACACAGTAGCCTTAAATGAATAGGGGCCAGATGTCACAGTGGGGACAAGCTAAAGAAAAACTCTTAGATTTGCATTTTTTTCTCCCATATTGCCTGGAAGTTCCAGTGCCTGCACTTGAGTTACTATGAAGCAGAAACAGAGAGTAGCAGCACCTCTCAGTGCCAGCCAGGGATGGTGGGTATAATGTTGGTAAGCCTTGGTTTGGGACCAGAAGCAGACAACATGTGCAATAAGACCCATAAACCCCTGAGCATACTTACCCCTAACTGTATATCCCAAACAAGGGATAATTATACAGAGGAAGTAACTCTTGGAAAGTCTTAGTGCTTGGGGCAGATGTTCTCTGAAGAGCAGTAAAATTTAGTCAAGTTCAAATTATAATATCAGAGAATCTTCACCCAAAGGCATACTTTTCTCCACCTCTACTCTTCCTAAACCAACAAAAGGATTCAAAATAGACCCTGGGACTGCATGCTTTTCTTCATGTATGTTAGCAAAATCCAGGCTATTCTAGAGGAATATGAACTAATAGAAAATCCACCAATCAACAAAATAGATACGCAAATAGCACTACTAGTAGTAGCACTACTATTGTAAAAAGAAAAAAGCCCAAATGACACAACTTATTCCAGATGAAGAATTAACAGCCAGTTTATAATAGCATAATATACTTGATAAGATAAAAGCAACATTTGACATTAAAATTTTATGGGAAAATAAAGAATTCAATAGTTAAATTCAATAACAGTATGTCCAAAGCTGGAGAATGAATGGATAAATTGAAATATTCACTCAAGGAACACTTAAAGATATGAAGAATGCATAAAAACAAAACTATAGGAAAAAATGAACAGATATAAAAGATAGAAATAAAAACTCCAGTACATGTAAATATGTTTCATAGAAGGAAAGGGGGGGAAATCATTTGATGAAGAGGAAGAAATAAATGAAGAAAAAATGGAATTTTTTAGGAATTAAAGATTTTTTAAAATCTCAAATTAAAAGTGTAAAAGTGTTTAACATTATCAAAAAAGAAAGATACTAAAAATAAACATTAACTTAGAAGTATTTGATTGACATTTAAGAATATCAAAGATAAAGAGAAAATTTTGAAAGCTTCCAGAATAAATGAGTAGATAACCTACAAAGAACAAGTATCATATTAATGACAAACTTCTAACTAGTAATGTAAAAACCAAGAATAAGATCTAGTTATGTGCTCACAAGGTTGGGAGAAAAACAGTAATTTCAGTGTAGAAGATTATATACGGCTAAATTATTATTTTTAAATGAAAGTTAAAGAAAGATGTTTTAAGCCTTACAAAGCCATTTACAAGACCTCAGGTGTGCAAAACCTCAGTTTTCCAGGCCTTAGATAAATTAAGATTCCAATGAAAACACTTGTGGAGAGTTATTTCAGCAGGAAGAGAACTAGATCCCAGAGGGTGCCACAAACTATATTTAAAAAGTGAGTAAATAATCAGAACAACCAGAAACCTGGCTGAAACTTTAGTAAATAATCTCATTGAGTGACTATGATTTTCCAAATAAAAAACATCAATTCCATCTATCATGTGACTCTCCTAATAAACAGGAATAAACTTGATTTTTTTTTAAAAAAGTTCCAGCTGGTTGCATTTTGTTTTGGTATGGCATTGAACTACAGAACTGAGGCTGGTTTTAGAGTTTTAGAGTAGTTCACATAATTTCATATCATACCCTCAGTAAATTCTACCCTTCCTAGTAGTTACATTGGGAGATTTACACTTATGCCTAGGGTATTTGTCTTCAGAGCAAGTTCAGAGGCAATAAATAATAAAAACAATAATAAAATAATCTGAATCATTTTCTTCATCTTATGTTTGGGATCCAGAATTACATTGCCTAAGGTAGCCCTTCATTTTACTCTGGATTAAATATTTTCTTACTATTTTCCAAAATCAAATTCACCTTTAGTGCTCAGAAGACTTCATCATTGTAGATACGAAAAAGGTTAAGACAGTAACCTTAAGAATATTGTGAAGGTGCTAGTGCATACAAAAGCTGTCTCCAAATCATATTCATTTATGGATCCCAGGAATTTCTTCTCTGAGACTTCAGATTATTCCTCCTCCCACCCTGAGCATGTTTATTCTGCCACTTCTTTTCATTCTCTGGTCTCCTGCTTGCACCACATGGCAAATCCCTAACTGATTCACTTCAAGTTGTATATTACAGCCACTGACAATAGTATGTGCCTTTTTGTTAGAACAACACTCCTTAATATTAAGGAATTCCAATCTAATTTCTAATTATGAAAGATACAGTATAGTATGTTTGTGTAGCCTGGGAGTAGGGGTGGATATTTAACTAGGGAGGTAGAAAGATCTTGTACTCTATAATCTCTTCACACACATTTGAATGGAAGGCTGGCTCAGGATTCATTTGTTTCTCCTTTCACAAACAAAATCATGATGGCTTGTGAGAAGCTGGTATTTTTTTGTCCATCTGTGATCAATCTCAATAGCTTGAGGGGATGAAAATCCAACACATGGTTACACCATCATTTGACATGACACATAAGCAAGAGAGTCAGACACTCATTTACCAAAATGGATTGAGCAGAAAATCCCAGAAAATTTAATGTAAATGAACGGATAAGTTTCCAAGAATGTAGGTCTTTCTAAGCAATGGAGAGTAATGGATTCTTGAGCTCTTCCATAGCACAGGTCCACAAAATAGGAACTCAAGTAATCCGTTGAATACTGGCCTCCTATATGTCCCCAAGAATTTATTGCTAAGACAAAGTTGAATTTGTTGCTTACCTAATACAAGGGAGACTACCATCTCAAAAAGGGAAAATGGCAAAGTCATTATATTTATTGAAACTCTGAAGTCTTGTTTAAAAGTGCAGAGAATGCCCCCACACACAGACTTTCTGACTGAGCTCGGCCATTCCAGCCCCTTCCTGACAGCTTTTCCTGGAAGCAGAGAGCAGAACTTTGACCCCTGCTAAAAGCATTGGTGGTACCTGAGGGCAGGCTTAACCAACCCAGCTCTGCCCAGACTTGCTCAAGACAAGCCTTCATTGAGGTGGAGAATAAGGACACACCTGGAAGTCCCAGGGCCCCACCGACCACCTGAGGCACTAAAGTGCCTCTCCAGAGGAACGAGAGCTGGTTACAGGCCACAAAAACAACAGTGTAGCCTGTCCTTCCAAGCAAGCACCACCTACTGACAGGGAGAACATTCTGCACACCCTTTTTACGATGGCACCTACTGACTCATCATACAGGGTGTGGTCAAATCTCACCCCAAAATACCATCTATAGGCTCAGAGACTAAACAGGGCATGTTAATACCCAAAAGAAAACCTAAAGGCAAGAAGCAACAACTGATCCAGATGGGAAGAAATCAGCAAAGGAACTCTGGAAATAGGAAGAACCAAACGGAAACCACACCCTCAAAGAGGAGCACAAGCCCCTTAGAAATGGGCACCAACCAAAATCAGGCAACCAAAATGACAGAAGAGGAATTTTGAATGTGAATCATAAGAAAATTCAATGATCTGCAAGAACAACTGGATAACCACCACAAAGAAAACACAAAAAGTCTCCAAAATCTGGAACAAAAACTCACTAAAGAAATTGAAACAATGAAGAAAAGTTTAACTGAACTCCAGGAAATGAAGAATCAATTTGGGGAACTACAAAACACAGTGGAAAGCCTCAAGAACAGGGTAAATCGAACAGAAAAAAGAATCTCAGAGATTGAAGATAACACCTTCCAATTAAATAAATCAGTCACAGAGATAGAGCAGAGAAACAAGAGGAAAGAGCAAAGTCTACAAGAGCTGTGGGATTATGTGAAGGAACCTAATGTGAGCGTCATAGGGTAATCAGAAGGGGAAGAAGAAAACACTCAAGGGTTGGACAAGCTATTTGAAGATATAATAGAGGAAAATTTCCCAGGACTTGATAAAAATCTCCAGACACAAGTTCAAGAAGCT